CCCTCATCACTTATAGTATCTTTTGGTTTTATGTTGTTTAACGTTGAGCTTAAAGGACTTTGGTTACTACTTTTAAAATCTTGTAGTTAAGATAGTTTTTAAACGTTATGGTGGTTATTTTTCAGATTACATCTAAAATTTTCTCTAAATGTGAATTGATTTTTTTTTGGAAAGCGTCCTCTGACATTTAAAATTCATTTACCCTCTACTTATTAAAGAGGGAGAGAGCAAGGATAATTTAATTTTTATTCTTACTTGATAATTAGTTTGTATTGTTTAAAAGCAATAGCAAAAGGATTATAAATACTTTACTTTAGAAACTATTGGCATTTTAAAGGTGTCATTTGTCATTAAAGATTGTTTTAACATCACACACAACTTGTTCACTGGACTATTCACTATTACTGATACATTATTTCTTGCCTATAGATAAGTCATATTTTAATTTTTAAGAACCTAAAAAAAACTCCGCTCAAGCCAGTTAATTTTGATAGCTTCAATTCTCTGTAATGTGATTGTTTTCCTAAAATTTATATTTTAAAATTATAATTGTAAATGTATTCTGACATCAGTGGTATATCTTACAGTTGCATTTTATAAGTATAAATTTTAACTCTGTAGAAAGTCTTATGAGAAATTTGATATCCTTTCTTTGAAATGTGTTTTGAAGATAGCAATTCAAAATAATAGAGGCTTTAAATAGGACCATGTATGAATCTGCTTTACAAATAGTAATTTAACCCATCAGTACTCTCAAGCAATGTGATGTTGCATTTGAACCATGTTGATGATTGGCTGCATATAAAATATCTGAAATTATGCAAGTGCTGACATACTTCTTTGATGACATCATTATTCCCAGATTGTCCCTCTTTCCTGTATTTGAGTTTTCAGTTGGGAATAGAATTATGAATGCAGTCGTGGTCCATCTCTGACTGAGGACTGTGCCACACCTGTCTCATGCCTGAATTATTCTTCAGCTTAGGCTTGAGTGGGTCTAATTCCCACCAGAAATAAGATATTGGGAGTGGCTTTTGTGTTCTCAGTTGAATGGGATACCTCAGACCTAATGTTGTGGTTCAGATATTTAGGAGTCTTCCTTGAACTTCTAGCAGCTTTCAGGTAGGTGATTTCCCCACAAGAGAACATTAAAGAAATATGATTTGTGAAAGTGATACACAACTTTAACAGAGTAAACTTTTCTTTTATATAATATACTTTATCTGTATTTTATGTTCTGTCTAGTTACAATGGATCATATCCATAACTGCATATGTTCAGTTGGGAATGCGTTTTGTTTATGATATACTTGCCATCTAAGTATAATAATAAAAATAAGGAATAAATTAAAGACTTTTTGTTTCTGATTGTTACTTTTTGTTAAAACTAAAACATTTTAACTGTTTAATTTCAGTTGAGTATAATATCAAATAGTCTAACCAGTGATCTGTTGGTGTGATGGCCTAATGGCAAATAAACTTTTTATGTACAAGTTTAAAATCATTTGAAAATCTTGTTAGGAAGAGTCCTTTGAGTACAACTACAGAATAGTAGAGTAGAAATTGCATATGAATTGCATGGCCTCTAATTTTTTTATGTTCAAACCTTCCCCTCCTTTGTTAAATAGCATAGCATTATTTCCCTAGTACCATTTCATTCCATTGTATGCAAGTTAAGTTGAGTTTTCCTCAAAATTTTTTAGGTGAGTACCCAGAATATGAAGATGGGTGGGCTGCCACGTACAACACCTCCAACTCAGAAACCCCCAAGTCCTCCTATGTCAGGGAAGGGGACACTTGGGTAAGTATATAATAATAGAAAACCGTGTCATGGAGTGTTGTGTTAAAAAATGGAACACAACCTCTGTTTAAATTAGTTTTGAATATTGAAGAAAGAACGTTTTCTTTCTAGTGTTAGCTTTTTGTGTATGTAACTTTCCTTTTTCCTGGTAAGCACATCTTTATACTTTAAGACATTTAAAAATTTATTATTTATTTTTAATTTATGTGTATGAATATTTTGCCAGCATGTATGTAAATGAACCATGTGTGTGCAAAATTGTGGAGGCCAGAAGAGGGCACTAGATCCCTTGGAACTGGAGTTCAGGGATGACTGTTAGCCACCATGTGGGTGCTGGGAACTGAACCTGGATCCTCTGCAAGAGCAGCTAGTGCTCTTAACTGTTGAGCCTTCTCTCCAGTCCCATCTTTATACTTTAAAATAGTTGCTTAGAAATTATTTTTATAGGGCCGGGTGTGGTGGTGCACACCTTTAATCCCACCACTCGGGAGGCAGAGGCAGGTGGATCTCTGTGAGTTTGAGGCCAGCCTGGTCTCCATAGTGAGTTTTAAATTGAGACAAAATTCTAGCCTAAATTTATGGTTAATTATAAATTAAAGTTTGGCTTTCATTTATTTTTTCTTTTTAGAGAATTTTTATAGTCCTTTATTTTACAGTTGAACTTACCAGGGTGTCCTGTCAACCACGCTGTGTAGATTATAACATTCTATATAACTTGTTAGGATACTCTTTGATTTGGTGCCTCAGAATTGGGTTCTGGATTTGACTTTTTGCAAAAATTGTCAGCAGAAAAGTGTTGACTTTCTTCTTGATTGGCATCGTAGTTTATCATGGTTGAAATGTATGATCAGGTGGACATCCTGCAACCCAGAAGCCAGTTGACTAAAATTTTGGTTTAGCTCTGCTGCTTGCCCCATGGTTCTGTGAAGTCAGTTTGTCAACAGTTGAGTTTTTTCATCTGTAAAAGGGGGTGATATTTGTCCTCTATTGATTTGTCAGGTCACTGTACTGCAAATTCGATTTTTGAAAAAGTATAAAACAAAATGCTTTCATAACCATTGGCTTTGTGATAGTCTCTAAAAGTCTCTGGCCCCCTCACCAAAAAAACAAAACAAAACAAAAAAGAAAGATCAACAACAAAAGCCACTCCTCTCCCCCAAATTAAAAACCTAATCAAGCACTGTAGATTAGGATGAAACAAAGATGAGTTGGCATGTAATGTAGGATAATGTTCACCAACCAGAAATAGGGTGGTTTTAATGAATTTAGTTTCTGAGCCAGAGTCTTATTACATAATGTAGCCCATATTGGCCTTGAACTCTTGATCCTCCGGCCTCAAAGTTTTTAAATGCGGGAATTATAGGCGTGTGCCATGATGCCCAGTTTAGGCTTTTTTTTTTTTTTTTTGCCAGGGTGGGGGGTTCTTTTTGAGACAGGGTCTCCCTGTAGCTGCAGCTAGCCTGGAACTTGCTGTGTAAGGAACTCACAGAGGTCTGCCTGCCTCTGCCTCCCAAATGCTGGGACTAAAGGCATGCACCACTGTGCCTGGCCAGTTCAGGCTTTTTAAAAAACTTCTAGGTAGAATGAAGATGATGTGTTAGAGTATAATGGTTGCAGGGGGCAGAGGAGAGTGATCAAGGGGAGGCATTTGCTTTATTTTCCTATGGAACACTTACATTTCCTCATGTGTAGTGCTTAATGGAGTTTGTTTAGTTTTAAGTTAAGATTGTTATGAAGATAACCCACTTAGTGTCCAGTAAAATGAATTTTTTTTTACCAAAGTTTGAACATGGATTCATATCACAGTATTTGTTTTCCTTGGGTATTAGCAGGGATGCCCCATGCTTGGGCCAGTTGATGGTCATGTGCTGTGTTCTTCAGCTGTTGCCTAGTCAACATGTATCATTCCTTCTCCTCTTGTGCTTGTTTTGTTTACTTAATTTGACTTTTTAGACCTTGTTCATGTCATTGTTCTCCTTGTGTAGCTCTCAGCAAAGACAGTTAAATAAATTTATTGTCTGGGAAACATTGCCAAAAAATTAAATGTTCAGAAATTAATCAGTTTCCCATTTTCTTTTTTATGTTTGCATTGTAACTTCAGAGATGCTTGAACTTCTTTTTAATATTTTAAATCCAAAGTCCTAGCATTCCTCTTTTTCTTTTTTTGACCTAATGTCTCATGTAGTGCATCTCATTTGTTTTGTATAGTTGATGTTTGTGCTTATTCAAGGAGACATGATGAAGCAGTGCCATTGAAAAATAATCTCATTCAAAAGCAGTAAGCTGTAACTTGAGCCACCCAGGAAAGTAGTATTTTTAAGGAATTCTAGGAGTCGTGTGGGATGTGAGGTACTGAGAAATGTGGAAGCTAATTGAGCAGCATAGCTTACAAGAGAAGAATGAATGCTTTTTAATGTTCACATCTTGAGATGCCAAATTCTTTTAAAGACCCATCTCACCTACAAGATGTCAGTTTTATATTTGTCATTGTCATGAAGAATTTGAACACTTGAAATGAAAACTGATTTAATGTTAGCTAATGTCTCAGTGTGCATCTTGTTTGGTCTTTTTGAGACAGGGTCTCCCTGTAGCCCCAGCTGTCCTGGAACTCACTGTGTAGACCAGGCTGGCCTTGAACTCACAGAGATCCACCTGTCTCTGCCTCCTGAGTGCTGGGATTTAAGGTGTGCGCCACCATGCCCAGCTTCATTTAAGTATTCTTACCAATGTTGAACTCTGAGAAGGGAAAGAGGAAAGAGATCAAAGTGAAACTTGAGGGAGAAAGGTTGTAAAAATGGAAAATATAATTAAGTAGTGTATTTTTGAAATACATATATACTTTTATTTGTTATGTATTTAATGTGTAAAAAGGGAAATGAGGTGTTATGACTGATATTGATCATATGGCGTTCATGATTTCAGAAATGTAGATTTGTTGTCTATATCTTTGAATATGTTTCTTAGGGAGAGAGAGGAGAGAAAGATAAATAGTGCATTCATGCAGTGCAGTTGGGAGACTTTGACATGATACTAAAATAATTCAAATTCTTCAAAGAAAAGAGTAGAGTCTAGGAAATACTGGATTAAAAGAGAACCTGTGTTCTCTGAGAATAAATGAACAAAATTTCATTAGCACAGGGAAATGAGGTTGGAGACTGACAACTTATAATACATATTCACCGGATTTAATGGTGGAGGAGTGATACCATAGGAAGACAAATTCATATCTGGGTTAAACCACATTTCCTATTTCTGCTTACAAATTGTATTTCACTGGCAACTCTTTGAATTTATCGTGCCGAAACTTGATTAATCACACAATACATACGCTCTTCTTTTTGTAGGCGGCACTCCCCCTATCGCACACTGGAGCCAGTGCGTCCTCCAGTGGTACCAAATGATTACGTACCTAGCCCAACCCGTAATATGGCTCCCTCGCAGCAGAGCCCTGTGAGGACAGCTTCTGTGAATCAAAGAAATCGAACTTACAGGTATTTTCTCTACCTCAGCGCAAAACGTGATGGTCGTAGTACCATAATCTGTTCAGATGGCTTCAGTTAAATCTCTCTCATTTTCCAAGCGCTAAGTTCTTTTCCTCACTCTACTCTCCCAAACTTCATCTGATTCTTCCTCTCTCTCCTCATGCTCTGATGTAACATTGAGCAGTCAGGAAGGTAAAAAAGATTAGACACCTCAAAGCACAAACTTCTCAATAGAGACAAAACTTTAGTTGACCTAAAAAATAATTGACCAGGCATGGAAAATTTCAAGTTGTTTTTTGGTGGAACTTTACAGATGAAAAACTAATCATAATAAAATATCAGTATGGGATAGTATATCAAGATATGATTACAAATGGAAATAAAATAAATTAGGAACATTTAATGTGAGTTTCTTCAGATAGACAGTAAACCAGAATATTGAAAAGGTAATATTTATTGTTTTGATGTGTTAAGCATCAACAGTTTTTAGTTACATTTATAGAGAATTTCTTCTCTTTCAGTCTTTAAATGCATCTCATTAAAAGATGTCAAACAAGCTTACTGAACTCAGCTTTTCTCCTCATTAAGAAATTCATACTTGAAGTGGAAGTGGCTTGAATTATATTTCTTGTAGCTATGCTCATTTCAGAACTATTTGGGGAATCCTGACTCCTGGTACACGTGCTCATGTCTTGGTGGCTCTTATTTCTTCAGCAGCAGTGGGAGTAGTGGAGGAAGCCACCCTAGTAGTCGGAGCAGCAGTCGGGAAAACAGCGGAAGTGGGAGTGTGGGGGTGCCTATTGCTGTCCCCACTCCGTCTCCTCCCAGCGTCTTTCCAGGTAAAGCACAGGGGGTCATTTATCTTTGTCTTTTCTGAATTTAAATTCAGTCTGTCATTTCATTATAGTGGATTCCTTGTTCTCAGTGTGTGTTTTGCTGGCTACTGAACCCGGGGCCTCAGAGTCACATGCAAGTGGGGCAGGTTTTCTTCTTAATCAGGATTTTAAAAAGACTTCTTTAGGACTCCATAAATATTGGGAAGCCTTTACATACGTGTTATTTCTAGCCAACTGATTTTAATTTTGCTGTCTTTCTTCTTTGTTACTTGATTTTATGCCTTAGGTGCTAGCTCAGTTGGTGCTTTGAGGTTCCAGGTTCCATTATGGTATGAGTTACATGTTTAATCCCAGCTAATATTGTGACAGAGCATTTCTTTGGCATGGTGAGGGTCTGGTTTGAGAATCGTATTGATAACAAAGAACAGCAAATATAAAAGTAAATTGAGGAGCATTAGAATTCAGTAGTTTCTGAAATATTCCCCCCATCTCTGAAATAGAAAAATACGCATACTTGATTTGAGGACACAGATTTTAAATTTAGTTTTAAAAGCATGAATACAAAAGTATCAGGATGGGGCTGGAGAGATGGCTCAGTGGTGCACTTACTGCCCTTACAGAGGAGATCCAAGTTTGGTTCTCAGCACCTGTATCAGGTGGCTCACAACCACCTGTAACCCCAGTCCCTGGTCTTCTGACCTTTGCCAACACCTGCTTATGCATGGTGCACATAAACTCAAGCAGGCGCACATACACACGCAAACACATAAATTTAAAAAAATCTTTATTAAAAAAACAAGGTAGAGGGCCGGGCATGGCAGTGCATGCCTTTAATCCCAGCATTTGGGAGGCAGAAGCAGGAAGATTTCTGAGCTCAAGGTCAGCCTGGCCAAATTCCATGCCAGCTAGAGCTACGGGAGACCCTGTCTCAACTCCCCCCTCCCCGCCGCCCCAAGGCGCAGAGTATTATATAATTAAGCAGGTTGTAGTGCTGCCTGTAATCTCAGCATGCCAGGGGCTAAGGCAGAAGGATTGTGAACTGGCAGTTAGCCTGGACTATAGTGAGTCTCCAAAAACAAAAGAGCTCAGAAGCATATTTAATTACAATAATACAAATAGATAATACTTTTTTTTTTAAAGACAGGGTCTCCCTGTAGCCCCAGCTGGCTTAGAACTTGTTTTGTAGACCAGGCTGGCCTTGAACTCAGAGATCCATCTGCCTCTGCCTCCTGAGTACTGGGATTAAAAGCATGCACCACCATGCCTGGCTTAAATAGATAATACTTTTTTTTTTAAAGACAGGGTCTCCCTGTAGCCCCAGCTGGCTTAGAACTTGTTTTGTAGACCAGGCTGGCCTTGAACTCAGAGATCCATCTGCCTCTGCCTCCTGAGTACTGGGATTAAAAGCATGCACCACCATGCCTGGCTTAAATAGATAATACTTTTTTTTTTAAAGACAGGGTCTCCCTGTAGCCCCAGCTGGCTTAGAACTTGTTTTGTAGACCAGGCTGGCCTTGAACTCAGAGATCCATCTGCCTCTGCCTCCTGAGTACTGGGATTAAAAGCATGCACCACCATGCCTGGCTTAAATAGATAATACTTTTTTTTTTAAAGACAGGGTCTCCCTGTAGCCCCAGCTGGCTTAGAACTTGTTTTGTAGACCAGGCTGGCCTTGAACTCAGAGATCCATCTGCCTCTGCCTCCTGAGTACTGGGATTAAAAGCATGCACCACCATGCCTGGCTTAAATAGATAATACTTTTTTTTTTAAAGACAGGGTCTCCCTGTAGCCCCAGCTGGCTTAGAACTTGTTTTGTAGACCAGGCTGGCCTTGAACTCAGAGATCCATCTGCCTCTGCCTCCTGAGTACTGGGATTAAAAGCATGCACCACCATGCCTGGCTTAAATAGATAATACTTTTTTTTTTAAAGACAGGGTCTCCCTGTAGCCCCAGCTGGCTTAGAACTTGTTTTGTAGACCAGGCTGGCCTTGAACTCAGAGATCCATCTGCCTCTGCCTCCTGAGTACTGGGATTAAAAGCATGCACCACCATGCCTGGCTTAAATAGATAATACTTTTTTTTTTAAAGACAGGGTCTCCCTGTAGCCCCAGCTGGCTTAGAACTTGTTTTGTAGACCAGGCTGGCCTTGAACTCAGAGATCCATCTGCCTCTGCCTCCTGAGTACTGGGATTAAAAGCATGCACCACCATGCCTGGCTTAAATAGATAATACTTTTTTTTTTAAAGACAGGGTCTCCCTGTAGCCCCAGCTGGCTTAGAACTTGTTTTGTAGACCAGGCTGGCCTTGAACTCAGAGATCCATCTGCCTCTGCCTCCTGAGTACTGGGATTAAAAGCATGCACCACCATGCCTGGCTTAAATAGATAATACTTTTTTTTTTTAAAGACAGGGTCTCCCTGTAGCCCCAGCTGGCTTAGAACTTGTTTTGTAGACCAGGCTGGCCTTGAACTCAGAGATCCATCTGCCTCTGCCTCCTGAGTACTGGGATTAAAGGCATGCACCACCATGCCTGGCTTAAATAGATAATACTTTTTTAAAATCATGAAAAAAAATTTTTTATTGCTTTTCATTTTTTTTAACCTGGTAAGACACTGTCTAGAATACGTGCCTATTTTCTAATACGGGTAATTCAAACTTAATACTTTTAAAAAGCAATAATATTCTATTTAGTTTTATGTATTATTTACAATATGTCATGCTAAAATAACAAATACAGGAAGCTGCTTTCTTCTAGACTAGTAACTTTCAGGTATAAAGGAAGGTTTGTTTTTAATAAATTAAATTTTTTCGGTGTTACCCTGAGCATCTTGAATTATTTGTTTCATACCTAATAATCCTTCACCCGTAAGCTTCCTTCTTTTTCCAGCTCTCTATTCTTTTGGCTACAGTTAAGCACTGAATATCTAACATTTAATATTCTAATGCCTTTTCTAATCTCGCCTAATGCGACCGTGGTATTAATGCTGCCTCTTACTCCTCTTTCCCATCAGCCCCTGCTGGCTCTACTGGCACTCCTCCTCTTCCTGCCACTTCTGCATCTGTCCCTGCCCCTCTTGTTCCTGCTACTGTCCCCTCCTCCACTGCCCCAGATGCTGCTGCTGGGGGTGCACAGACCCTTGCTGATGGCTTCACCTCTCCAACTCCCCCTGTTATTTCTTCCAATCCCCCTACAGGTGAGTATTGGCTTATTCATTGTCAGACAGATCCAGACATCTGGCTATTTTTACCTGAAACTCCAGCTTCATGATTTTTTTTTTTTTTTTTGGTGTGTATATGTCTGTGTGTTGTTGTTGGTTTGGTATTATTGGTATTAAAAAAATTCAAGACTAATATTCTAACAAGAAAGTGGCATGTGAACAAAGAAATTCTTGAGAAAGTCAGGGTAAAGTCTTGTATACGTTTGTCTAATAAGGTAGCACAAACATAACATATTTTTATTGCTTTAATTTCATTTTTTTAAAGACTTGTGAACTTAGCGTCCTAGTTTGCTTCTCTGTTGCTGTGATACAACACTGATCAAAAGCAACTTGGGGAGGAAAGGGTTTATTTCATCTTATTCTTTCAAGTGACAATTCATCATGGAGGGAGTCGGGGCAGGAACTTGAGGCAGGAACCTGGAGGCAGGAATATTTGAAGCAGAGATGGTGGAGGAACGCTGCTTACTGGCTTGCTCTTCCTGGCTTGCTCAGCTATCTTATACAGCCTAGGTCCACCTGCCCCAGGATGGTCCCACCCACAGTTGGGTTAGGCCCTCCTACATCAATCGGCAGTAAGAAAATGTCTCAGAGGAACTGGAGAGTTTGGGTTTAGTTTCCAGCACCCACATGGTGGCTAACAACTGTCTGCAATTCCAGTTCCAGGGTTCCAGTGCCCTTTTCTGACCCTGTATATGTGCATGCAAAACATTCATATCCATAAAATTAAATAAACAAAAAATTTAAAAAGAAATAAAAAATGCCTCACAGACCTGGCCACAGGCCAATTCAGATGGAGGAAATTCATCTGAAGTTTCCTCTTCCCAGGTGATTAGCTTGTGTCAAGTTGACAAAAACTAGCATACTTAGTATGGAGCTACTTTCTATATGGTTTTGAAAAGCTACCATTAGACTTATTATTATATGGCACTGGAAAAATGGCTCAGCCTGTAAAGTGATTGCTGTGCATGCATGAGGGTATGAGCATAGCTGTCCCCAGCACTCATGTAAACAGCTGGGCACAGAGTAGCCTTTGCTTTCATTTCATCCTTGGGGAGGCAGAGATAGGTAAATCCTTTGGGCTCACTGGCCAGCCAGTCTAGCCTATCAGTGAGTCTCAGGTCCCAATCAGAGACCTTGTTTCTTAAATCAAGATGAATGGCTTTTGAGGAGCAACCCCAAAAATTGACCTCAGGTTTGTGTAGTAGTTCACATGCATATGTATCTGCACACGCATGCATGCATGTACACGTGCGCACACACACACACAAAACAAAAACAAAAAAGGAAAATTACAGGTTACGTTAATTAACAAAAAGTATATGAGCCAGGTGTGGTGGCACATGCCTTTAATCGCAGCAGTTGGGAGGCAGAGGCCTGCAGATTGCTGTGAGATTGAGACGAGCCTGATCTAAATAACAAGTTCCAGGCCAGCTGTGGCTATAGGGAGATACTGTCTCAAAAAGACAAAAAAAGTCTATGATAATTCAAAAATATATTATACAGGGAATATTTTATGTAGCAAATTGCAAGCCTCTAAGTGCATTATAGTGGAATCTTTGCTTATATTTTAACAGTACTAGGAACTCATAAACAGTACTTCCAAAAGAATTCAGGCTTCTTTAAGTTGACTGATATTTTTAGTGTTACATTTAAGATTTCAGCTTAGGGCTGGTGAGATGGCTCAGTGGATAAAGGTACTTGCTGCCAAACCTGATGACCTGAGTTTGATCCCTGGGACTCATATTGTGTAAGAAGAGAACGAACTCCCACAAATTGTCCTCTGACTTCCGCATACACACCATGGCATGTGTGTACTCTTCCCCTCGCAGAAATAACTGTAGTAATGATTTTTTTTTAATTTATTATTTTACGTGTATGCATGTATTGCCTGTGTGTTGGTAAGTGCACCCGTGTCATGCAATGCCCACGGAGGTCAGAAGAGGCTGTCGGATACCTTGGGGCTGGAGTTACAGACAGTTGTTAGCTGCCATGTGGGTGCTGGGATTCGAACCCGGATCTTCTGCAAGAACAACTAGTGTTCTTAACCACTGAGCAATCTCTCCAGTAATGATTTAAAAAATAAAAATTATCCTAAAACCTAAAATTTGTTTTGATGGAATAGGAGATAAAGACTCTTAATTACCTCAGAATACATTTGAATAGTTAATAAGATGCTTGTTAGTAAATGGTTTCTTACTTGTTCTAAAATGTATAACCTTAGTGTCTAGCTTGCCAATAAAGTACTTAATAGAACACATATTCATTTTTGCTTTCCATAAATCAATACTTAGATGTTTTAAAAGAGCATCTGAATGGTGTTCTCTTGGGATAGCTTCTCTACTAGCCTTGTAAAGAACCTTTTGACCTGGATGAGTGTAAATATTTACATTTCTTTGATCTATATACAGTTCTGTTACACTGGTCTAGCTAGTTCAATATAGGAATCTTGCTAATGCTGTAGACCAGAAATAATAAGTAACCCTTAAGACTTAGAATTTTAGTAATTAACTGATAATTTAGTAATGTTTGACCAACTAATAGTGTTCAGGAAGTAAACATTTATTATGAGTGGATAATTATTTTTAAGCAAAGTAAGATAAATTCCTTATCAATTTGTTTTAGTAAGGTATAAATTGTATAAAGTTTGGCTTTGTAAGTATATATGTATATGATTTTTTTTAGATTTACGCTATTGCATAGAAACCAGCACAATTAAGACCTAGAACAGTTCTATCATCCCCAGCAGATGACCTCCTTGCCCCCTTTGTAAGCAGTCCTTCTCCTCTGCTGACTGCTTGATCTGTTCTTGTCTTTGTAAAAATATCATATTGGGGCTGGAAAGATTGCTCAGTGGTTAAGAGAACTGACTGCTCTTGCAGAGGACCCAAGTTTGGTTCTTAGTACCCACAAGAGGGCGAACAACCATCCATAACTCCAATTCCAGGAGATCCAACACCCTCTTCTGACTTTCATGGGCATTGCACGACGTGGGTGCACTTACATACATGCAGGCAACACACTCATACACATAAAATAAAAAATAATAAAGTATAAAACAATGTTGTATACATGGAAGCATATAGTATGTAACCTTTTGGGTCTGGTTTTGTAGTCAGGTGCTTTTGAGGTTTATCATAATTATGTATGTTGAGGTAGTTTATTTCTTTCCATTGCCAGTAGTGCTCTTTTGTATGGATCTACTACAGTGCATCTCATTCTCAGTTAAAAGGACATTTGGATTGCTTTCAGTTTTGAGGGATTATGAATACAGCTGCCATAAACATTCATATACATAAGAATGTATATGTATTGGGTTATTTCATTTGGCTAAACACCTAGGGAAATAGGGTTGTTAGGTTGTATTATAAAGAAATGTTTCTGGGGGGTTGGACAGCTGGCTTAGTGGTAAAGAACACTGGCTATTATTGCAGAGTACCTGGGTTTGATTCCCAGCACCCACATGGCAGCTAACAACAATCCTTGACTCCAATTCCAGGGGATCTAACGTCTTTCTCTGGCCTCGGGGATTGTACAACATGGGTACATGCCAGCAAAACACTCATACACACAAAATAATACTTATACACATAAAATAAAAATAAATAAAATAAAAAAGAAATGTTTAACTTTTTTTTCTGAGACAGGGTCTTTCTCTAGCCCCAGAAATCACTATGTAGACCAAGCTGGCCTTGATCTCACAGATATTTACCTGCCTCTGCCTCCTAAGTGCTGAGGTTAAAGGCATGAGCCGCCGTGCCCAGCATAAGAAATGTTTAACTTTAAAAAAAATTATTTATTTAATAACCATATAATTAGAAGAAGCATTTCATTACAACATCGACATATTCAATAACAATTTCCCCAGAGAAGATGTATCTCTTTCAAAATTGGCTGTAAATTTTTAGGTTTACAGTTGAATTATTACAGTTATACAATATTGTACTCAGTATAGGGCTCTACTTAATTCAGTTTCATACAGAAAAATTCATTTTTAATATAATTGACACTAAGATGTACACGCGTTTTTAATCTCTATATATCTGATTATTACTAGTCACAGTCGGTTACTTTCTGAGCTCCTTGGCATCTGAGCATGGATCTAAAGTCATCAGGTAGATTTCAGTGGTAATGTTTTTCACATCTACTAATTATTAAGGAGCACATTTTTATGCTTTGAAGAAATATTTTTTTCTTTTTTAGTTATTTATACACCCACTTCCCAGGTAGCACCCTCCCATAGCCTCCCTCCCCCAAACTAGAGCCCCTATACTCTGATATCCCTGCTGCTGTCTGCTGTGTTGTCGGCACCCCCAGCCATTCCCCACTACTTGCCCTTCTGGTAAATGTAGTCAGCCTATCTAGAGGTCTTTGTTTTAGGAGGGTCAGCTATTCTTCATCTAGCAGTAATCAGTTGTCTATATTCCTTTGGATAAGATTGGGGTCTGCTGTTTATTTTCCCAGTTCTATGCTGGGTTACTATCTAGGAATCCCTTTGGCCACCCTGGCCATCAACTCAAAAGAAGGTATCACCTTTCTGGCATTGTTGCTTTAGCCTATAGCTATACATATGGACTCTTAAAAAATTATGTTGGCCCATTTAATCTTTGGTTACACTTTCGTTTTGGGTGTTTAAGGCCATACAGTTGGTCCAGATGAAACTGATTTATTTTTACTCTAAAGGTCATTTGAGGATCTGTTCCTCAGGGGTCACATGGGCTTGGGAGGAGCCCCTGGCTCCTTTCTTTTACCAGTTCCATCTATGTGAAGATAAGTCAAAGGTCCTGCTCGTCCATAGTTGACTTCGCTTGGAAGCAAGGAGGAAATGATTCGTCTGTGTTGACCCTACTTTTTATAGACTGGACACTGGTTCAAGTCCATCTGGTGGGGTCTCCTCAGCCTCCTTGATCAAGAGGACAAATGACCCACCACAATTACAGGACATTTTGAGAGATGCTCATAGTCCCCTGGAACTAGTC